TTTATAAATATATATATTCAATATGAAAATCCATTGCAATGTAAGGAATTTGAGTGTTATCCACGTCAAGTGGCCGAAAAAGCACAAAAAACAATAATATTTGTACATTAAGAACGCAACAAAATAATTAATTAACTAATTAGAATTGTTTATAGATGTGTGTGTATATATGCTTAATCACATGTGAATATTTTTCAATAAATATATTATAATAATAACTCAAGAAATCCAATAAAAATTTATACAAATATATATATTTAAATGTTAAATAATCTAATTGAATGGTTTTTTAATTGCCTATAAATTAAACTTTTGGTATAAAACGTGTTGATATGATGAATGCGTTGAGAATCGATGCAGCCGATGAGTATYCTATATTATTACAGGGTATATGCTGGTCCGTTAACCAAATTGTTGCTGACTTGGCTTTGGCACCTGTCTGGCAACCTCGGCACGATAACGGAACAGTGGACGAAATACGTTTATCTCAGCCAATTCCATATCATCATCGGCCTCGTCATAGGGCAGGTCAGCCACGGCCCGTCGCAATCTGCTTAAGCTGCGCTCCAATCTGTAGAGTTGCTCAACATTCGCATACCCTACATCCGTCTGTACAGTGTCTGCGGTCGGTCTTTGGATCGATTCAATGGAACTGGGATACGCACAGACCAATTGCAGGGCCACAAGGTAGGCGAGTATTTGACAAATTTGCTGTTTGATGATGAGAGAGATTTCTATGAAAACTCAATTCAGCTGTATGTTCACATGGTTTACTCACCTTAGTAGACAGCATTCTGTTTGATCTGATTTTTAACTGATTGCTCTGCTTTAAGTTAGATACAATTGAGCTGTTAACTTCTTGAAAATGGAATTCAAAGTGTAACTAAGTCGTGCGCCAGCAAAGCTTTTTATACAATAGAGCTAAATGATATTTTGCTAAGCGGCAGTTGGCTCTAATTAGCACCTTGTATTCTTCTAATTACTCAACTTGTTTTTCACGTGTAAAAATCAATTGCAATAAATTAGCATGTTACTTTTGTTTTGTACAGTCCAGAAAATCAGAAATATATAGAACTGTCTGTTACCGAGTCTAGAGAAGCCGAATCATGTGAATTAGATTTGTACTTCACTTTGATTCGAATTACATGGAATTGTCAATGCAAATACAACTGACTAATAGTGTGTACTTCATCGTTTTCTTATCCGGTCGCGTGTCCGTTTTATAATTAGCGCATGATCTCGACAGTGGCGAGAACAATAATATAACGCCTAGCTGTCAAAGTAAATTACAAAATTTTGCACGTGCCATTTTACAATATTTAAACAATGTTTCACAAGACAATTATTCATTACAACTCAGTGCGCGGTTTCTAATTTCAATTTGAATTTTAAATTTACACGCGGGCATTTTATGTTAAGGAACACAACTGCCTGCCCCTGGTATATAACAGATTCTTAACGCTTAAAGCTTAACAGTACTGGTTAGTTAATCGCTTAACAGACTGTTATTTTGTTGTCGATATGTTGGTACAAAGTAAATGGCGCGCAGATTAAATGTGGTCGGGAGTAAATAACGACTTAGCAAAGCAATGCTCAAAGAAACTGCTGTCTTTTTGTATAGGTAATATATTTCTGGTAATTAATAGAAAAACACATTACTGAATTAATATATACTAATTATTTCACTGTTTCGTTCCTTCAATTATTTATGGAGCAACTGCAAATAACTGTCACTTGAACATAGCCAACTGTAATAATTTTATTGCTGACATCAATAAATTCATGTATACATCTGCAAAGCAGCTACAGCTTTTTCAGCTGAAATTCCATAAAATTTGAACATATTTTTTACACATTATTTACAGACACTTTTTCGAATTTGCTCCACTTCGACAACATGTACTCAATTTGGCACAGTCCAATAAACTATCGATAACTTGCATAAATATTTGCATAAACAGTGAGCGGTCACAGCTGTTAGATCAGACAACAGACCGAACTGGGCAGTTCGCTCATTCAGTTTCTCGAGTTGTTCGATTGAACATATACCGAACGATTCGATACAAGATTTGATGTGCTACGCTTCTTTGTTTATTTGTTTAATGTTCGTTTAACGGTAAAGTAAACAATAATCAACTAATTGATTTGAACAGTTTATAAAGTGTTGCCCTGACAGTTTGTCATAAGTAAGCAAAGAGTAGAAGCAGTAACATCAACAAGGGCAAACAGACGCAGTTCAACGTCACACAAAAAAACAGTGTCTTTTTGTTTTAGATATCAGTAAACAAATAAACTACGTTGCAGTATTCATATTTCAAATTTGCCAGCGTAACAAATTTATTACAATTTCAATACGTGTATATATGCCGGCAATGATTCCATTTAATTTTGGGCATTTTGTTACTTACAAAACCTGACAGTTGTCAGTGACAACATATGTATGTATGCTTGTATGTGTGTGCCTGCATGTGTGTGTTTGTGTGCTTTGATGTGTTAATGTGCTAATGTGTTTGTGCGCAAAATATGAAGACAAAAAAATACGATAAGGGCAGCAACTTCATAGGAAACTAAAGCGGTCGCTGTGCAACAATCGCAATTGAGTTTCCGTCAGTATCTCCCTCCCTCACTCGATCAATGTTTTCTTGAGCCGCGTCAGCGCTACAGTCAACACTACCTGTTGATGTACACCTGCCTCTTTGTTTATGTATTTATGTGTGTAGGGTTTTTGCAGATTTTTAACGAAACGTACGAAATTCCATCTGGCTTACCTTGATACATGTATGTATGCTCAAGTTGTTAGTCGCTATAACTGACTATAGTCTGTTTCTGCCTTGATGAAGCTTGACATAATTTGGTTTTAATTTTATTCAAGCACCTGTGATTCATAATATATAAAGTAGATAGGTTAACAATTTTTCAGTGACCTTGAGATAACTCTAATAATGAAAATATTTAAAAAAAAATATAAAAATTTTTGATAAACAAACAGCGTATCAATTTATATGTATGATGGAGAAATCTTATGATAAGGAACGTTTGAATAATGCAAAATTCAAGAACTATAAAAACTAAAAGTTCGTATCGTAATATTAGAGTTTACGAAAAAGAAAACCCATGTGTTCCTCAGTGATAACGTTATCTTGAAAGGAAAACTAAATATATCTAAGCTAAGCCATGTGTCTAACACATACTACCTATGTTGATTGTCCTGTACTACATTATAATAATTATCACTAATCCGGACATGCATTCGTCTAATAACCAAATGCCTAATTTAGCTGAAAAATGCTTAGAAATATTCATTTTAGAATGATTCAGAATATAAATATGGACTATTTCAGCTTAGCTGTGTGATTTTTTGTTTATGATAAATGCATTCAATGAGAGCGCTTTATTGCTTCTATACCAAATCTTTTAAGAACTTAGCTTTAAGAGGATCTATAGTATTGGCCTTTAAAATAATTTTAGATTTCTGTTCTCTTCTCTTCTATCTTCATCCCTTTCTCTTCATTTTTCTTGCCTTCCTTTCTCTATCTCTTTCTCTAAATATCTGACTTTTAATCCCTCTCTCTGTTTCTCTCATTTCATTCTCTTCATATCACCATTTTCTATTCATTTCTTTTTCATCTTTACATCTCTTTCCCTCTTTCAGCTCAATTTAGATAAGTAGCTACACGCGTCTGCCCCGCCTGGACGTGCTCAGCTACTTAATAGTGAGAGCGTGCTTTGGGCCAGTCGATGAGATCGTCAGTGACGCGAACGCGCAAAATGAGCAACAGCTACAATGATATACCCATTGGCATACGGCTCCTTCAGAGCTTATCGCGGCACTGTCCGCGATTTCATGCCCGCAAGGAGCTCTGGTAAGCCATTGATAGGAGTCGAATCTAATTGAGCTACTAATGCTAGATTGGCCCTTATAATTGCAGCTACAAGATGTCCATCATTCTGCTGACATTCGCTGGCTATGCCTGTTACCACATGTCCCGTAAACCCATATCTGTGGTCAAATCTGTGCTTCATTACAACTGCTCCGATACACAGCCTCATGCGGGCATCGATTGCGGTTACGCGCCGTTTGGTAAGTTGAACTAGGATCCTACTGGCCGTACGGCAGGGCCTTCCACTCTACTTTTAGATCTCTCTGAAC